GAAGTGAAAGAGAAAATTCAAAAGTGCAACATCACAGGCAAATGGAGCTGCCTTTTTGAAATTATTATAGAAAAGAAGACTATGGCATGTTTGAAAAGGCTGATAAGACTCCAAAATAAAAATACATATGTGTTGTGAAGACAGTAGGGACAGTGGCAAGACATAAATCTGAAAAGACCAGAAAAATAAAGGGAAAGGTACATTGTGCAATGGAAATAGGTTTTTGATTCAGAAGCAATGGAAATTTTTAAGCTCAATGAAAGATGATGAGATGCACATTTTGGAAAGCGCTCTTCAATGCAGTGTAGATGCCAGATTAGAACAAAGGTAAGAGAAACATGAGGAAAAATTTTAAAAGCTGTGGCAGTGCATAAGCAGGGAAAGACCATCTAAACTGAGGTTATGCTCTGGAAATGGAGATACTGGACAGGTCTAAAAACTCCATTGATGCTGTTGAGAGATGCCAGACAGGAAGAGAAATAAATGTGAATAGGATGAACAAAGACAGTAATTGTTTCCATTTGGGACAAGTTAAGTTTGAAGCTTTTAAGGAATATTCAAGTGGAAATGCTCTGAAGAGATATAGATTTACATAGATGTAAAACAGTGTTTCTGAACCTTTTTTTTTTTTTTTCAGTTTTGCCTCTTACCTAGCTTTTTAGGCATTTTCCCCTAATTGTCTACATCTTTGAAAACTTAAAACCACAGGTATGCTGGATTTATGTTTATGTACTGTATACGTATCTCTGCTTTACACATAAAAACTGGTAAGATATTTTTGATCCCAAAGAACCAACTTTCTCTCTCTCTCTCTCTCTCTCTCTCTCAAAGATAACGCACTGTTGAAAATACGTGGTTAGACCTTAGAGGAACAGATGAATACAGGAGTACCAGCTTGTGAGCTATTTACTCCTAAATGAATCAGCTCAAATGAACCCAAACAGGTAAGCAGAACGTGAGAAAAGAGGACAGGCTTGAAGAAAAGACCAGGGTGGACCAATCCTAAGCTGAAGGGGCCAAGGAATGCAATCAGAGGGAGAGATGGTTAAGCTAAAACCTAAGCAATGAATGGAGTTGGCTTTGGTTTTGTGCAGGGATTAGGGGTAGAGAGTGTTGGATGGACATGACTGACATGAGCACAGAGCTAACAGGTACAAATCTGGCAGCGTTCAGTGACAGACCTATTGCTTCCTTTTCCATGATTTCCTGCTTTAAAGTAGGTGTGTGGGGGGTTGGCTCTGTAGCACAGTGGAAATGTGCTGTCAAGAGAAATTAGATCCCATATGGCAACTGTGCTTTGAAACCCTTATATGGTGAGCCTGAAATACACTGAACATGCATACAAGTGCCCAGGATCTGACAAGGTGAAGACTGGAGGAAGGGGATGGCACTATAATAAGACACTGTGGATGGTACTCATCTCTCTTTCACTCTTACATGCACATGCCCTACAAAAAATTAAACAAAAAAATAGATTGGGCTAGCAGGTGGTCCAACACCACTAAGCCTACCCAGTGGTGGTTAAGGCACTGTACTCCCACAGGGCCAACCATGGTTTGACTCCAAGATCTGGAAGCTTGGAAATCATACTAGGTGCATGTGTGCCCAAAAATCCCAGGAAGAGAATGGAGGAGCATGGATGGTGGTATGGTCACTGTCCCAAGGAGTAATTTCTCATTCTTCCCTCATAGTCTCTCTGTCCAGCAATTACACATACCCTATGGCAAAAATCTAAAAAACAAAACAAAACAAAACAAAAAAAACCCACAATCCAGGTACATGTGGGTGGCCAGTTGGTGGCACAGTGGTAATGCAACTGGGCCCACATGGTCCTGGGTTAGCATTCTAGACTCTCCCTGAGCACGGATGCACACATGTGTGTCCATGATCTGAACTAATTGAGAGCAACCGTAGATTGAGGCATGAAGACCCAGTTGGGGATGCCTGTCTCTCCTCTCCCTTCCTGCCTCCCTCCCTATCTGACTATATACATGGATAAACTAAAATGCATGCATGAAGGAATAAAACAGGTGTGTGTATGTGTATGATGCCATAAGCAATATTTGAAAAAATGTTACATCCCTACATATTAAATCACTACCAGAAAAAAATAAAAAAAGACTTATTATCTATAGCAGAAAAACAAGAGAGATTCTGTACTGTCACATATATTAACATACTCACTACTTACCAATGCAAAACCTATATAGTCCTGGAAAGACTGAGCTACCCACTTACACAGCCTGCCTTTCATGTGATTACCCATATAATAAGTTCAAATGCAAGGCTAGGAGGTGGTGTAGTGGTTAAGGTGCTAGACTCTCACATGGCTGAACTTGGTTCAAATTGTGGACCCAGTGGCTTAAAAATCATGCCAGGCATGTGTGCCCAAAAGAACAGAGAAGAAGGGACTGCAGTGTAGCTCTCCCACCTGAATGTGATTTCTCACTTTCCCTCTCTCTATCAAGCACATGTGCCTTAAAGAAAAATAAATAAATAAGTAGGAAAACAAAAAAGTTCAGATGCTAAATTACCCTACTCAACATGTAACTCAAAGAATGCTTGGAAGAACTTCAACAACAGACAGAAAATAGCATTATACTTCATCTAATAATCGATATCTTGTTTAAAAGGAACACAGATTTCACAATATCCAGCTGAGTGTCTTAAAAGAAATGCTCTTCAAAAAATTACACTATTACTAGCTAGACAAATTGTCACAAACAAGTGTGTATGACCTGGTAATGCTAAAGCACACCCTCAGCTACATAATATCCTTAGGAAGTCACTGGACCTTAGTTTTCGCAGGTGAAAATAAGAAAGTGGAACTGAACATAGAAAGGGAACTCTAAATTCATTTTCTATTCCAAAAATACTAAGTTACATTATAGTGGACCTAAGGGTTAGACAGAGTAAAATCTAAAAATAAAACAAAATAAACAAAGAAACCTAATTATATTCTCAGTTCCGAAGTTATTCATGTAGGCTTGGGTTAGTGGGAATCTTTTTCTAGGTTTAAGTTTTTATATATAAACCTAAGAATGTTAATGTAATTTATAAGTTTCCTTTCAACCTTGATTTCTTTCATACTATAATCTTAAATAGATAAGAACAGCATGAAAGTCGCAAAGTTTCATGGATATAATAGCTTTTTCTTGTACCCCCAAGAGTCAGTATCAAAGCTGCCTTTAATTTTGTTTTGTTAAAAAGCACCCTAGGCCAGCAGGTGGCGTGATGGTTAACGCATTAGACTCTCACATGGCCAATGGCTGTTCAAGTCCCAGTTCTGGACTTTCTCACTTTCTCTCACTCTCTTGCTCTCTCCCACTCTCTCAAGCATGCCCTGTAGTAAATTAAAATAATAAGAAGAATTCATAAAATTAAATAAAAATTCTTAAAAAAAAAATCCTAGGGCAGGCCCTGTAGCATAGTGATTAAGGGAACAGATTCTACAGGATGAAGAAATCAAGAAGGAAGCAATGTAATACACTGTAAAATTATATGAAATCCAATGTAATATAAAGAAGATTATGATGATAATAAAAAATTTAAAAACAATAAAAAAAATTTTTAAAAAAATCAAGAAGGGATTGCAGAGTGGACACCTTACTGGGGGGGTGTTTTCTCCTTCTCTCCATTTTTCCTGCTCTCTCTGGTGAGTGCACATACCCGATGGCAATTGAATTTTTAAAAAAGACGCAAGCAGCAAAGCTCCTTTATTTTTTCTCCCCTTTTTACAGCAATACTACTTGGGGAGAACTATTCCTAGCATGGCCTCTCAGCAATCCACTGTTCCCAGGCTAATGTCCTTCCTTACTGAGCTCCAATCCTGAGAAACTGGATAAAGGACTGACATGGAATGTTAAGATGAGCACCATCTATCTCTCTGTGTGTACTTGTGATGGTACTAAACATTCACAAACTGCAGGATTAAACTATCAGGAAAGCTCTATG